ATTGTGAAAAGTTAAATTTTTGTTATTTTTGCCTGGAAACTGTGAATAGGAGCACTATAGCTCCTAAAGTTCCTTTAGCTTCAAGTCTGCGTCAGTCCTATATGACCAAGGGACAGATGAAACCCTATGTGAATCCCTACAGGGATCTTACTTGTGTCAATTCCCTCGGAAATTGACAGTCAAATACCTAACTGGTCAGAACCTCCTCAGCCGATATCCAACAAACATTCTACGCCAGGAAAAGCTGCGGTAACACCGAGAACAGTCCTTGATGAAATATCAGCTGCATCTCTCGGAACCTTAGCTGTAAAAAGTCCCTGCCAATTTTTCAAGCGTTTCAACTTAGAATGATATTAAAAAGAATTAGAAGTTAGTTTGTGGCAAAAACTAGATAAATGTACTAAGAAATCTAAATGAAACCCTTCTTCAAACTCAAGAGATAGAATGTTAAATGATTTTTTCACTGGCGATGAATGTATTAGGGAGATAGAAAGGAGTACGTTGGTTGCAAAGAAGATTATTATTTTACCAAAAAACAAATGAGGATACAATCTAGTTTAAAAAATCCTCTCTACTACCTTGAGTGGTCTATTTCTCTTAATTATAAAGGAGGTATAATCTAATTGTACGTTTTATTTTTCATATTTATAGTTATTACAGAAGTATTATTGTTTGTGTTTTCTGTTGCAATCATTGATAACTAGTAGTCAGTAGAGATTTTATTGGCAATTTTTCAAAATGCGCTCTATCTCTCCCTGGTTCATCCTACTTATTGGAACGAAATTTTCATATTTCATTTACAATATTATTCCGATATGAACAATTTTAATTTTTTCAGTGATTCCCCTGCGTACAACTTTAACGGTGGTTTAAAGGAAGAAGCTGCTCAAGGACTTGCAAATTATAAGAAAAGATTCACCTACCCGCAGTTAGTAAGCAAAGACCTTTGTAAAGCACAAATTTACAAATGTAACAGGTGTCCTTACGAGACTAAATTTAAAGGTCGTCTAAATACGCATCGTCTAAAGCACGAGAATGTAACAGAAATCCAAATGTACAAATGCGATACTTGTGCCTATGAAACTAAGCATAAGGGACATCTGAATGCGCATAAATTATTGCATAAAAGCCCATCAGAAGTCCAGACGTACAAGTGCGATACGTGTAGTTTTCAAACTAAATTTAAAAGGAACCTGAAATCGCATCAGCTAACGCACAAAGATTCTTCAGAAATCGAAATGTACAAGTGCCACACTTGTGCTTTTGAGAGTAAACATAAGAGTAACCTGAAGATGCATCAGTTACTCCACAAAGATCCTTCCAAAATCAAAATGTACAGATGTGACACGTGCGGTTATGAGAATAAATATAGAGGACACCTGAAATGTCATCAACTCATACACAAAAGTGTTTCAGAAATTCAAATGTACAAGTGCGATACTTGTACTTATGAAACTAAATATAAGAGTTGTCTAAATAGGCATCTGTCAAAACACCAAAACCCATCGGAAATCCAGTTGTACAAGTGTGATACTTGTAGTTATGAAACTAAATATAAGAATAGTCTCAAAAGTCATCAAGTAACACATCAAAATTCCTCCATGACACGAAAGAGCAAATATAATACTGTAAATAGATGCTATCCTGAGAGTCATTTGGCAGTAGATTCCGTAGAAATAAATAAACAGTTTAACCGTGATCTCTCGAAAGAACAAATGTACAGCTTGTACAAGTGTGATAAATGTGTTTTCCAGACAGAGCATAAACGCAGTCTAGTTAGGCACCAGTTAACGCACAAAGATTCTTCTGAAATCCAAATGTACAAGTGCTATACTTGTGCTTTTGAGACTAAACATAAGAGTAACCTAAACATGCATCAGTTACTCCACAAAGACCCTTCCAAAATTAAAATGTACAAATGTGATACGTGCGGTTATGAAAATAAATATAGAGGACACCTGAAATGTCATCAACTAATACACAAAAGTGTTTCAGAAATTCAAATGTACAAGTGTGATACTTGTACTTATGAAACCAAATACAAAAATTCTCTAAGTAGACATCAGTTAACACACCAAAATCTTTCGGATATCCAGTTGTACAAGTGTGATATTTGAAGTTATGAAACTAAATACAAGAAGAGTATCAAAAATCATCTACTAATACATGAGAATCTCTCCACGACGCGAAAGAGCAAATGTGTGAGTCCTGACAGTCATTTGGCTGTAGATTCCTCAGAAATAGATAAACAGTTTAAGCATTCAGGACCAACATCTTTCGAAGGAACAAATGTACAGCTTGTACAAGTGTGATAAACGTTATCCAGACAAAGCGTAAACGCAGTCTATCTACAGGCATCATTTAATGCACAAAAACTGTTTGTGTTTGTGAGTGTAAGAGTGCGAGCCGTTATAAAGACAATTTATTTTTTTTTATTTTTAACCTATAAGATGAAATGGTAAAATAATTGAAATATCCCCTCGAATCCCCAACTGTGATTGGTGCGAGTGTACAACAAAATTTTGTTGGAAGTCATGGGGAAGTGCAGAAGACTTACAATTCAGATGTAATTAGTCGACCAATAATTTTTGTTAATAGTACACACGAAAATTCACTCAAGTCCATATCTTCGTTAAAAATTTAGGTGAGACGCATTGAGGGCATGGTATTCAGTTGTTTTTGTAATTTAAGTACTTATTAGAAAATTACAAAACTACCCAAGAACTTAAGATGTTATAACGAAGGGTGCCTCACAATAGTAGCCATTATTCTTCATACCTACCTACCATGAAAATAAAATCTATTAAGCACACAAAGCTTTTATACAGAATAAAAGCATTTGTAGTATAACACGAAGAACAACAAATCATTATTTTTCTTAATTAAATCTACTTCGGTCGCTATGCTTGTATAACTAACTTCCGATTCTCGATAAATGAGAACCAAAATGGCGACGGCGACGTAATGCACTGCATCACGTCCTATCCGGCGGCCTATAGTTTCTGTAGGAGACCAACTACCAAAAGATAGCACATTGATGTTAGATAGTGTTTATAAAGACGGTGTAAATATCATTGTTGCTATTTTAAATTTAAGTTATTACAAAAACTGTTTGAATATAAGGGTAGAACTTTGAGTGGGGATCATATCTTTGTTCTTTAGAAACACGCATCGATAGCTTATATTTTCCCTCAATTGTTCTTAACCTCTTTTTAGTGATTATCCCGCCCTGGACAAGCTAGTGCGATGGCGCGCTTTAGTCGCAGCGCTTACACAATTGGCAACTGGGCTGTACATTGTTGCCACATCTCATATTTAAAGAACATGTTATTTTATTATTTTTTAAAAAACAAATTTCTATACCACTTGCCGTGAGGTACTGCTCTTTGGCTCGTTACTTGAATTCCACATAAACGAAAGTATAATTCTTTTAAATATGACAAACTATGAAACAGTAACAAATAACCTATCAAAAAAATCGAGCAGTAATCAATAATGATGTATGAAATACACAAAAATAAATAATCGTTTTGTCTGATTATAACACTTGAAATATTGTAGCTAATTTTCGAGTTCTGGCACCAGGGCCCTTTTGCACGGCACAAAAATTTTTTGGTTCTTAATTTCCCATTCTCTGAATTTGTTCCCGTCCAACATTAGCGTATTGACGTTCAAAGCTCGTAAAATCTCTTAAATGTTGTTTCAACCTGCCGTTTCAACTAGGTTGACCTCAGGTTGCGGTGTATGTTTAAATATCTTTAATATAACTTCTAACAGTCGGCACTGGACATGAAATACACACAAGTTGTCAACACACATTTTTTACGTTGTACACATCTGCAAATATACAAATACATGAATATTACAGGATGGGCGTGCTACAATGTTGAACTAACCTGACAAACATTTCCTTATTCGGTACTTATAAGTCGGCGTAATTTATCTGATATTGTCTTCTTTGCTATTGGTGACTTTAAAATAACACATCGCCTTATTAAACAAAAGTAATGTTTTTACCAATTTTTTGTTGTTACTTCCCACAATGTAGGTTGATTTAAAACAACTGGCAACGTTGACAGTTCGCAAATACGCCCAGTGGCGGCGTACGTAAGAATTAAAGTGCATTTAAAAAAATTAATTATAACTCGGTTATCTATTTGATTAAAAAAACTATTTCAGATTCGTATTCACACGTACTGACCTAAAAAACCTAAAAAACTGACCTCACTTAAAGTTACACCCTGTATAATATGTCAGGTTTAAAGCCGATATTGTCAAGTGTTAAGGGTATGAAAATAATATACTTACAGTAACGATAATAGTTGGTATAGATTTTCATGTATTTTGCCAAGTGACTGAGGCTAGATTAGGTAAAGTCTGGTTAGGTTAGCTTAATTCGTTTAATTTATTTATTCTTATTGAGTATATCTATGCATAAGTGTATAAGCCATTAGTATAATAGGTAAAAAGCAAATTAAACCCAAGTATTTCTTATTAAATAGACTTTGAAAAGATGACTTTGGTATTTTATTTTTTGCAGGTGTAGCCAATATTAAGTGTATCGAATTTAAAAACAATTGCTTAACTGAAAAAAAAATAACGTTGAAGGTTGTATAAGTATTTATACCAATTTTTCGAAAAAGTGTTTTGTAGAGTTGTACCAAATTTTTAGCACTTTTTCAAAATACAATGTAAATAATAATATTTTTAGTGACTGTCATTCAAATGTTAATCAAGATTTAGAATGATTAATTTAGGCCTTCTTGTCAATTGCCATCTGCTAGACTCTAGCAGCTAGAGTAATGATTTATATTATAATCCATGATGGGTGTTATATTAAGATAAAATGGTGTCAATAGATCATTAGCTTACAATTAATCTAATTGACAAAAAACTATCACAATGACAATAATATTGCAAAATCGAGCCTAATTAGGAAAGAAATTTACGTGTTTCGTTTATAACGTTTATTAAATTATGAACAATTTTAATTTTTTCAGAGATTATCAAGAAGTAGAAGGAATGCAGAACGAATATTTGCGTAGATGTGAGACAGAAGAAGTTCTAATGAACAAACATGAGGATCAGTCACAGAATATTGAATATATAAATGATTTTGAACATTCTACGCACCACCGATTAATAATCAAAGATTCTCCCGATGCAGAAATCTGCCAATCCTATGGAGCTAAACATGAAAGCTTCCTAAAAGTGAATCAATTAATGCATAGAAATATCTCAGAAATTCAAATGTACAAGTGTGACGTGTGTGATTATGAGGCTAGATGTAAGAGTCATCTGAAAGAGCACCAGTTAAAACACAAGAATATCTCGGAGGTTCAAATGTACAAGTGTAATGTGTGTGATCACGAAACTAAATACAAGAGATATCTTAAAGTACACCAATTAACACACAAAAACATTACAGAAATCCACATGTACGGGTGTGATGCATGTGACTATAAAACCAAATATAAAGGTGATCTAAATAAGCATCAGTTATTACACAAGGGCCCCGCTAAACCCCAAAAAATCCAAATGTACAAGTGCGATACATGCAGTTTTGAGGCTAAACATAAAAGTGGTTTAAAATGGCACCAGTTATCACACAAGAACTTTTCCGAAATCCAGGCATACAAGTGTGATATATGCAGTTACGAAGCTAAATGTAAGAGTCACTTCAATAGGCATCAGTTATTACACAAGGACCGTTCCGAAATCCATTTTTACAAGTGTGATATGTGTACTTATGAAACTATATATAAAAGTCATCTAAAAGTGCATCAGTTAAGGCACAAAAATATCTCAGAAGTTGAAATGTACATATGTGACACCTGTGATTACAAAACTAAATTTAAAGGCGATCTAAATAAGCATCTATTATTACACGGAGAGCCTTGTAAAATCCAAACGTACAAGTGCGATCTGTGTGATTACGAATCTAAGTATAAGGGACATCTAAAATCACATCAGCTGCTTCACAAAGACTTATCAGAAATTCAGATGTACAAGTGTGACACATGTAGTTATGAAACTAAGTTTAAAAGAAACCTAATATCCCATCAATTGACACACAAAGATGCTTCAGAAATTCAAATGTACAAGTGTGATACTTGTACTTACGAAACCAAACATAAATGTAGTCTGAAAGTGCACCAGTTAACTCACAAAGAGTTTACAGACCAAGTGTACAAGTGTGATAGATGCAGTTATGAAACTAAATACAAGAAGAGTCTCAAACGTCATCAGTTGACACACGAGAATTCTTTCGCAGTTCATAAACCTTCAGAAATCCAAATATTCAAATGTAACGAATGTGTTTATGAGACCACATATAAAAACAGTTTAAGAAATCATGTATTAAAACACCGAGATCTCTCAAGAGTGCAATAATTGTGTTTATCAGACGAAAAATAAATACAGTCTAATTAGGCATCAATTAGTGCACAAAAAGTAGGAGTGAAAATTAGCTCTAATTTTAGCATAGTGTCATACGACTCTAACAAATTAGTGAAAATAACTGTAGGTACCTTAAATTGCAGGTATGGATTTCTGTGTTCATAAAATACAACAAAATGTCTACTAATAATTTTTTCACGTTCAAATTCTAATTCGACTGGAATAATAGTGTAATCAGTGAATTTTTATGTGGAAACGATGTTTAGAAAATAAATGTTTATACATATATCGAATTAGAATCTTTTTCTGTGTAATTTATATTTTATGAAAATAAATTATTATTAGGGTAAGGTTGTACTAATTGTACACTTTTTCAGTTTTTATTTGTTTACTTGGAACCTATATTTTGAATTTTGACTACGAAGTAAAATTTCCTAAGAATAAGCCGATAAGTCCTGTTATCGGAATTGCTGTAACCATTTACCGTAGTAGGGGCGTGCCTTAGAATTTTCGACCAATATCTTTCTACCTCGGGTGTCGAATGCGTTAATTCCAAGAAAGTGTCGCAGGGGTCTTCTTCGAATTCTATCATACTGATATGTTTTATTTAAATCATTTTAAATTTCGTAAAACAATTAAGTTTTAATTTCAAAGCTTAAACTACTTTCGTCACAAAAAAATTAAATATTTCTTTTTAGATGTTACAAGTAGGTACTAATAAAGTTATTGTTATTAGTATTATTATTTATCTATACCTATAAAATATTTATATCCATTTCATGAACATTGATTCTTCATTTACCCACAGCCTGCCTTCCTCCATCCACAGGAAGTGTTGCTCCAGTAATGAAATCAGCATCGTCACTAGCTAAAAACGCAATGGCTTGTGCCACCTCTTCAGGGATACCATTTCGTCCTAAAGGATGGGATTCCTCCGAGTTCTTCAAAAATCCCTCCTACTGCTCTTCGGTTAAACCGGCCCTCTTTTGTAGCTCGGTAATAATCACTCCAGGATTGACACTGTCAATTCTGACTTGCTTAAGCGCCAAGTCCAACGCTACACATCGGTGAATTGGTCAACAGCTGCCTTAAATACACAGTATGCTAGAGCTCCCGGATATGCTCTAAGACTAACAATACCACTAACATTTACGATGTTGCCTTTGGTTTTTATCAAATGGGGTACTGCTAATGTTGTTAGGTGATAAAGAGACCTCACGTTCGTGTTCATAACATTGTCGTACTGCTCCAGACTAGTTGCTTCGATCGAACCGATTTTGAGAACGCCTGCATTGTTCACCAGAACGTCCAGTCTGCCGAAATGTTCCACGGTTTTGTCTATGATGGCTTTGGTGTCACTTTCATTGGTCAGTTCCGCAGTGATTAACAATGGAGTGGTTGTTGTTGCACACTCGGATGCTACTTTTTTCAGATTTTCAAAATCTGTGCCGTTAATGCTAGAGAAGCGCTGATATCAGCAAAATGTTTAGCAGTAGCCGCACCTATACCCGAACTGGCACTAGTAATCAACACTACTTTCCCAGTGAAATGCATTTCAGTGTTCCCTGAATTAACTGTTGGATGTTTTCTGTGTGAGACTACGCACTAACTAAAAAATTATACACGTCACGTCTTAAATAGCTATAGCACTTACTGCCTATTAACGATGAATGGGCAATTTGTGCTATTTATAGTAGGATTAATCTAATCATAATCAAACATTAAAATATTAAAGAAGTCATCCCATGACAAACTTAAGATGAATGTAAACATATTGTGCAATCTTTCTACCTTCTATTTCCTGATCCCAGCGTTGCCAGATTTAAAAAGCAACAGATCGTAACCAGGCAACTAGGGGTAATAACAACTTATTTTGGAAAATTCCAGAGATATGGAGTAGGGAGAATGAGCGTCAAGATGCGCAACCATGCTAATAAAGGAGGTCGCCATTTTGAAGTCTTTAGATACGAGGGGGGACTGATTACATTACCAGGTCAGTTCTAAAATTTCTAATTAGAAACGCACATAACTACATTAAATTTGAAATGAAATATGAACTATCAAATACGTACTTTTGAAATTTTCAATTACATATGAATTATTTTTCATAATTTTCTAGGTATATCTGAATATTTATTATATAATAAAAAATTAAATTTTCATATATGCACTTCATAAAAAATATATTAAATACTATATTACTCAAGAACAACGGCTGGAGTTGTATCATAACTGCATAGGATATTATTACCTATCATATGTATAAATCTGCACACACTCCGACATTGTGCTTATCTTTTACAGTGAATGATACTCTAATTATGTTATAACTATCTTGTTTCACAGAAGGTTCAACAGAGAATATTAATCACACCAATAATAAATTTTTGATACGATAAACTTTAACAGATTGCGGTAGGTACTCAATTTATATGAAATAAAAAAAAATTGTGATATAGTTCCTAAATTATTTTGTATATTAAAATAAAACACTGTATAACGTAACATATTTATTTACTGATGGTTGAAAATAATTATTTAATTTTTGTCTTAATGCAGGGCCTTGAATAATCCGTCCTTAATTTCGTTTCGTAAAGACTGAACGGTAAGTTTCCTGTCTACATTTCAGTTTAACATTTTTCGTTGCAACTGTAGAAGGAGATATACTGCAAAGATATTTTCATTATTAAAGTTATCCATTAAAGTATGTTTTCATTGCCATAATACTCCTTCTCTTAGCACTACTATCAGTACTAGTGTTACCATTCGATGTATTCTGAACACTGAAAATAAAATTACTGTAAATATATTTCTTAATTTATTAGGTCCGTATCAAACAATTTGGCAAGGTACGTATTTAACATCCATAGCATTACTACAATTTAAAATTACAAATCTTTATTACCTTAAATCTACTTGTCTCTTCTTTTTACGTTGAACCTTCTAGAACTTCAGTAACATTATAAGTCAAAGATGATCCACTTGATTGTAACATCGATTTGCTGGTCAAAACTCCTGTATTAATTGAACTTGATAAAGTACTCTTGCTCAAAATGGAAGATACACCACAAAATAATTTTATGGAAGGTACAGAGTTGAGTCGTACGTTCTTCTTCCACAAAAGGGGACAAAATCATCTGCTTTAAAGTGTTCAGAGCAAATTACGTTATATTTTGTCCATACCCAATTTTATTTTTCAATAGAAAGAACCTTTAGCCACTTCTGTAAAGTTTCATTTCTAGGAAAGCTAGAAATAAAAAAATTACATGTTTACAATAAAAATTTAGAATCAAAACTGGAAATATCTTATTTTTGTGTACAGCTACCGAAGTATTTAGAAATATTCAGTACTTACACATGAAAACTGATGTTTTGTATTGGAAATCTTTGGCAATTTGCGCTTCGTTTGTCATCACAAAGCACAAGACAAATTTAAAGATCAATCAAAACGAAATTGACAAACAAAAATATGAATAACCTCAAAAACACACATGCGAACCTAACGTCACAGAATTATAATACGTTATAATTCTATGCTAACGTCAACAACAACTGCGTGACGTAAAAACCTTCAAAATGGCTACGCCCGTAACACATGTTACAGGAAGATTGCCTGCATAGAATAAAGTTTATATAGGGTGATTGCCTGTAGCGTCCCTAGAAATGTGGATGCGCACTCAGTTCAGTGCGAACAGCCGAGCTGAGCGGACGTGCTTGTTTGTGAGGTGAAGTGATTGCAACGAGCAAAATCTACCTGCCTTTATTAAGGNTTACAAACAAAAATATGAATAACCTCAAAAAACACACCTGTGAACCTAACGTCAACAACAACTGCGTCACTGCGTGACGTAAAAGCCTTCAAAATGTCTGCGCCCGTAGCGTCCCTAGAAAAGTGGATGCGCACTCGTCGAAGCTCATTCTCCCCTACTCCATATCTCTGGGAATTACCCACATATTGGCAACCCTGGTCACATGTATCGATTAACATTGACCAATCAAGTTGCACGAAATAGTTCCAAATTTTCATACCGTCATCTACCGCTTAGAAGCGGAAGAATGCTTAAGTGGGTAGCTAACTGTAATGGTCTTAACATTCAATGGTCAATTAATTGCACCTTTAATGTGTAGATGGCGCCACCTCAAAAAAGTTTTAGGGTTCACAAAAATTTGAAAAAAATTCCGTTGAACTATAACGAAACTGATCAATCTAAAACTGTATTCAGTTCCTTTCTAACTTCATCAGTTTTCGAGATTTTCGATTTATTTTCTTTCAGTTCCATTAAGTTTTTGTTCGGTAGGCAACATACAATACAAAACTTGTAAATAGTTGGTTGCATAAAAAGTTTGGTAAGCAACATACAATACATTGTTGTATATTTGATTGCATAAGAATCCACAAAATTTTCTATATTTTATCAGTCGCCAGTTTTTTACTTATATATTTATATTTTATTTTATAACAGGATAAAGGATGTCTATTAATGAGCACAGGACTGCGAAGGATTGTTAGACACATTATATTACAAGAAATAGTTGAGAAAACCGCATTTACACTTAAATTTTTTGAAAATTTTCGTGCCATTGGAAATATTTCAATCCAATTTTTCTATCAATGAAGTGGAACGCTTGCTTGTGCCGATTGACCACTCAAGGTGCAGTAAATAGTTCCAAATTTTCATGCTGCAATCTAACTTGACAAATAATAGTATGAATTTATATTAAATATTAAATTTTCAGATTTTTTAAATTAGTTAAGTTCCATCAACTTTATGAAACATTTCAAAGATTTTTTTTAGCACATTCCGTTCAATACTTTAGTCCCTCAAAATTTCAACGTTATTCTCGTCAACGCCACTTTTTCTCAGTGTACAATTCTTTCGCTTCCCACAAAAAACAGCAAGTCGTTGGGTAATAAAAAAAATACAAGGGGTTTTATACTCATGGAGCGGTTTATTAATAATACCTAATTAATATGTATATAATTATTTATAAAGTTATTAACATTTTATGTGTATTCACTAATTCAACTAATGTCAATAAAATATGTACAAATTCATTTAACTATATTTCCCAATTCCCTAAAATTGACATATTCTTACAACAGTAACTATTATGTACACAACGTCCGCGCTTTACCCGAACGTTGGATCCTATCTGTGAACAAATATATATAATATATAACAGTCCTAAACCTGTCCAATTTAATAAAAATATATATGTCATTAAATAAGTATATAAATACAAAGGGTAAGTAATGTCTAGATTACTCGAAAACAAAGTTTACGGGAAAAAAATTGCATATCGTTGACGAATACTGTTTTAAGTTGTGTCGATTCGCAAGATATCCTCCATTATAAGATCGTTTCTTTTTTTTCTATCGAAACAAAGACGAAAATCGCAAGACTGCAGAGAAAAGGACGTCGAGCGTCCGGAAAAAGGATAAAATTTAAAACGGGTAACGTGAACCGTGCAGGCCTTCCCGACGTACCTCCCGCTTTGAGCTCCAAACAGTCTGAGGCAACATTTATAAGATACGTTTCAATCTTTTTTGGCCCCGGTAATATTTCATAAATGCATTACAGGTTAGTTTAAACATTTAAATACGTACAATTTAGTTAATCAACATTTGCTAGGTCTACAGAACGTCTCGGGCGACGATTCCGCGCGACAGGCGATAACATTTCACTACCCCGCCCGCGTCGCGGGGAAGTGTCCCCCGGCAAACAATTGACAAAGAAATTTTGATTATAAATTATTTTATGTACAAATTGTCCTAAGTTTATTGGCGATATATCTCTTTTTTTTTAATCCCCCGACATTTCGTCCAACCTCGCATCCCTGTCTTTGGCAAAGTGTTAGAATATTACGCGAATTTGATTATATTGCTGTCTTTAAGAGGAATATACTCCTTAAAACGGGGGGAGGGAAGGAATCGCGGAGCCCCGTCTCGCCGATCCTCCCGTCTCCCGGTCTCAAGGCCGCGCGCGGATTCCCTACGGAAAATTTTGATAGGTCAACCCCCACGTGTAATCTGCTTACTCAGTCTATAGTTATCTCATTAGTTTCTTTTGTACATCTTCATATTTACATCTTCAACAAAAAAATAAATTACTTCTTGTACAAAATTTACAGCTTAGAGTGTATAACGAAAAGCTAACAACAAATAAAATTATAACAACCTATAACACACACCCCCGCCGCCTCCCGAGGGCAGACACTCTGTAAAACACTGAACGGCGTGCGTGGCAGTTTACGCTTTTGTTGGTTTTTGTCAGTTTCCTCTAAAACTTCGGCGCGTTTAAAAATCCTATTCCTAAAAAACGTCGATTCTACAAATTAACCTCTAAATATCACAATTCTTTTTGTACACATAAAAAAGAATATTAACGTTACAATTAAAAAAATATATGTACAACTATCAATTAAGAAAATATCATTTTACGTCACGTGTGAGTATTTTTAGTAATTCGTTCGTAAGGTCACATCGATGAATGAAACAAATATGTACAGGCTACGGAAATGAAAGAAATAAAACTAGTCACAAATTAAAACGAATGACGCGAAATTACCCCGTCGGCGGCATCACAGAAACACAAGATTTTAGTCGTTTTGACTGCGACTTTAGCAGCGTGATAATTTTTAAAATCATAATTTTGATATTCAGAGCCCCTTTTTTTAAAAAAAAAGTTAATTGAACCGGTAAGTACCGAGTGGTTCAGTGGTTTACAGAAGTGCGGCCGCCGTATGGTACAGCTGGACCAGGACCTGCATGTGGACCGGCAAGCACGAGAGGCGGTCTTTCGTGTTGGAATCCAGGGCCAACCAGGATAGCGCGTTGTAGCCTTCGAGGACGTATCTGGAAAAGACAGAAAAACAAATTGTATTTGCTTTCTTACATATCAGCCTATCACCGTTTAGCTTTAGCACAATATATTTTCTTCAAAATTCAATTGAATTCATTTAAAAGCCAAAACCCCCATACGCCATCCAATAGAGTGAAAAAAGAAGCTGTTTTTACACTTAAATATTACAGCAAATTTCATATTTCAAAAATACTTAGTAAATGAAAACCCATGTAATTTCCCCAGCAAAATCGCGAACAATTTTTTTTAAAACAATAAAAACAAATTACATTTCTTTGGTTTTTTATAATATCTCGAAAAATAATGATGGAATCGTTTTACTCTCGATAGGACTTTTGTAGAGAAAAAAAACCCTATAAAATGGTTTTTTTGTGCGACCCAATCGGATCATTTTTTACAGAGAAAATCCAGAAAAGTTTCTAAAATAGAAGTTTTTTAAAAAATTCATAACTCCGTCAAATTTGAAGCTGGAAAAACAATCTTGCGGAAAATGACAGATCATAATATGTAGTTTAATCGTGCACAAAATGGTTTCTGTCCGATGCATAGTTTTTGCACAATTGCATTATAAACAAATTAGGGTCTTTTTTTACACAATGATTTATCAAAAATGGTCCGATTTAAATTCTGAAAACAGCATCTGAAATGTGCACAGTACCGAATCAGAATGCAATTTCCGTTACTCCAAATCTGTGAATGAAACAGACTCCGTTCGCCACTCCACTACTTTCCACTGCGCATCTTACCTGAGAGGCTTAAGGGAGAATATCCGAGTAGAAAAAAACGTTTTTTTCCAAATTTGTTTAAAAACATTGTGTGTAAATTTCATATTGAGATTTCAATAATTGCAGAAGTTATGGGCAATTTACCCGAACGCATTAGGCATCAAGATTAGGGTTGCCAGATCTCCGGGTTTGACCCAAAGCTTCAGGTTTTGATGGTACATCTCCGGGCTCTGGGTTAACATGTCATTTCTCCGGGTTTTCTTTGTTACGGAAAGGAAAACAACCATTTGTCTCACAGATTTCCTGATTGCATTTGCATAACCTTTTTTTTTTTAAGCATCAATCATACAAACGGGTCATAACTCCAGGTCTGTCATGAAATGATTTGGTAACCCAAAATCGAAGATGCTGAATGCCAGATCGTCAAAGTCAGCCATACTATTCAAAGATGCGAAATCGATCAAATACTTCCAAAATTTGACACAATATTTTTGAACAGGTTTTCTACTTCAGAACACAGGATTTTTTTCACTTATTATTTTTTTATCAAGCCGGAAATGTCAGAAATTAGAGTTAAACAATGAATGCAAAGTTCGATTGGCTGACATTTCGTGGAAATTTTTTTATTTTTTTTTTAAATCCTACGTTGCAAAGGGCATCATACGTTACATTTTGAGAATCCTTTTAAAATTTTTGTTTCAGATCAACGGGCTGCACGAAATCTTGGGAAACGCAGACCCTACGCCAGCCATGACAGCACCGTTCCCAGTGAAAATTATTTATAAAGAAATTTGTCGGCATACCCCCAACATGTATACTCTCGAATAAATAGTTTTTGAGATAATAATTCCTAAAGTTCACCTATTTTTTCCGCTGTCTACTCAGATGTTTCCCCTTAAATGAATTTAGATTGCTGGTAAGTCCTAAATTTGTGTCATATTTGGCCAAGGTGTTAACTAGACTAGAAGTCATTATGAAGTTTTAGCTATTTTTTTTCTAGGAATTCCCTGGTTTTTTGGGTTTTTTCATAAATCTACATAGATAAATAAAAATTAAATGCTGTTCATTGGTAAGAACATCACTTGCGAACGGCTGGACCGATTGGGCAAATTTTTATTTAAATATTCGTAATAGTCCAAAGAATGTTTTTAGGGAAAGAAAAATTGGAAAAGTTGCCCGAAAAATTGGAAATTTCGGGAAAAACTGAAAGTGCTTATCACAAACAAATTGGATCAGCTAGTTCTTATACAGGGTATCCCGAAATTAATGCAACAAAATTTGGTCATAGATTCTTAAGACAAATTCGGACTTACAGCCCCCTGAAATCCGCCACTAAGAATAATCTTTTTTTATATCTCAGAACCCAGTTGTACGAGAATCACTAATTTTGGTACACAGGAGTTTTATGACATGTGGAGTCTGATGGTGCTACACTTTTTGGCAGGGAACCCCCTTAAGACACTTTTTCGTGGGCTCCCTTGTCTTTGGAGCCAACAAAATTTGGTCGCATATTTAAATTTCTTAAAAATTATATTAGTCTGATAGAAAGCCATTAAATTTAAAAACTTTTTTGTCTCTTGATATTTATTTCGTAAAACGCAATGTTTTTAAGAAAAAAGGCAAATCACGATATACATTCGATCACATTTTGACATTTTCGGCTTATTTCAGAGGACTGCAACTTCGAAAAAATAATAAAAATATAAGGCCCCTAAATTTGTCTTAAAAGCCTTGGCTAAATTTGCGTGCACCAAGGCTCTTCCCACGAGCCGCGCAGCAGTCTTTCTTTTATCCGGTAGGCAATTTTGAAGACGATTGCTTAACGTTTTCCCAGTGAAATTTCACTTTTCCTGTGGCTCCTCAGCCAAAAACACGCAAATTTTCTCTGTGGGAGAGAGACAAAACTCGACGGGACCACCTACCGTCCAAATTCAGAAAATCGACTGAACGTCAGGCAAACGTTACTGCGGTAGGTCGTTATTTTACTATTTGGGGCCTTTGGGGATGATACGATAGCGATAAAACATAATTTGATCATTTTCAAATTTGCGTTCACACCCGGGGAGACCCAAACTTTCAAATAGCCCATACAGGGCTCCACCCACCGATAGGTCGCCAGAGCTCGGTTTGTAAGTTCACGAATGCGATACTGCGAACCCAAAGGAAAGCGGTTCAAATTATGTTGAGGAAAAAAAAAGTGAATTCAATTCGGTTTCGATGTTACTTCAAAAAGTTGAGAAATATCGAATTTAAAATTATTATGAGGTCGTTTCAGTAAATATACAGGGTGGATATTTCGTCAAAGTTTAGGAACAGGTAGATACGTCACTTAAAAAATTTTTACCCCTACAGATGAGAGGTGTTAAAACTTTTGATGGTAAAGATACATCACTTAAATGTTTGTAATAAAATAATTAATTGTGCTACTCATGAAATACAAAAACGATTATTTTTTCATATAAAAAAATGCTCTTGACATGCATGTAAATGATTATCTTCCTTGTGGACAGCATTAAGTATAGCGAAATTTCCAAACAAAATTACTGGTCACGTGGCTTGTAATCTTTTATGATCTGGGTCTGTACCATGATCTGATCCATGGGCTCTGTACATGTGAGCCCCTGGATTAAAAAAAAATTAATTATCTCTCTAAATACTTGTAATTTTGAAAAGGTTTGGTGAAATACTCTTGTTTGGTAGTAATTTTGAACTCATGAAAACATATATTGGAAAATGTACTTACCGCAACACATCTGTAGTGTACTGAGAATCGAGGGGGTGCGAGGTGACGGCGGACTGCTGAAAGAGATCGTCCGAACTCTGCTGTATGTTCGGGCTGTGCAGATGCAGCGCGTTCTTCAAAAAGGCCGGACAGACGCCCTCCAGGTGGGGGCATGAAGACCAGAACCACCTCGGCATCCTCCCGGTAGGGGCCGTCGACACCAAATAACCCAAGGCCAGGGGTTGCTGGAGCACCACACCGACCTCCTCGCTAACCTCGCTGCTCTTGGAATTCATGCCGCCCATCATGGGCGTTCCCTCCCTTCCGACGTTCACCCCTCCGTTGGGGCTGCCTGGGCCGGACTCTTCTCTCCTGGGACTTCCGGTGGGGCTCTGCCCGCCTCCCGGTACTATCTCCGGCCAGCAGTTGAAAATATCATTGAAGTCGTTCATCCCTTCGGGCATGTCATCATCGAAAGCCCTGAATAACTCGTCGTCTCCTAGATCGGGGGTGATGTGTTGTTCTTGGAAGGCAGTTTGAGAAGACTGCGTCGTGGCACTCGTGGGAAAGACGAGGATGTGCGTGCAACTGACGTCTTGGGGCGTAGAGAGCTGGGAATTGACCGAGATCTGGCTGAAGCGCTCGTCGGGCGTGAACTGGTCCGGCATCAGCCTGAGTACGGAATCGGGTTCTAAACTCACCAGGCACGCACTTAGGATGCACGGCACCGAGCTGGGGTACATCATCGCGCACTGGTTGCAGATCTCTTTCAGGTGTTTCGAGGCTTTCAGGAGATTCTTCCGGCCAAGCAACCAGCTCCATCCCTTCAGTTCGCCGTGGCCGATCCTACCCAGCCTGCCGACCACCAACCTCCACGGCCTGACGCTCTGCGACATCACTCCAAGGATGAAGTTCATGAGTTTCTCCAGGCCGATGCGTCTCGCAGAAGCCTTTTTTCTTCTCCTCCGGTTGGGTATGTCGATGTTGATGGTGATCGTCTCGAAGATCTCTCCTCTCTCGTCGGTCGCGACGGCCAGCAGCCAGCTTTGGTCCTCGGAAAGGCAATAACTCAGGTACAGTACGGAAGCTTGGTCTTGGGTGCCTTTGCCGAACGCCTCGACGGCCTCCACCTTCTCCCTCACCGGCGCCAGAATGTAGGGTGGGGTGTATAATTTGTACGGAGCACGATTCTTCTCCTAAAAAACAGATATTTGTAATGTCCACGTACGAAATTTTAATTAGTTTCAAACAGTTAAAATTCTGCCTAATGACACAAATAAAAAATAAAAGCATTTTAACTGAAAAAAATTCAAAATCGATTATTTTTAATTTTTTTTTTAATATTTCGCTATAAAAATTGAAACTCAAAATAAATTATTATTATTAGAATTTGACCAATAATCTCACTATTTATTGAAAAATGTTATTACTTTCAATTTTGAATAATTGTAACTTTTTCTAAAAAAAAAATTAGAATTACATAACGGTTAACAAACATACAATATAGGAAGTAGTGAATTTACATTTAGCAACTCGAATTCTCGGTAACAAAAATAAAGTCTGCAACATAAAAAAAAAATCTGAAAAGTTAGAGGATTCCCTGATATTTCTGGGATCTCCAAATTCTTGTTTACCCCCACCATTCAAGAAATGGCAGTCATAAAATTATTTGAATATTCTATGACATACTTCAAAGGGCAGGAATAAAATATTCTAACTTTTATATAACCATTTTATGTACTTCATTATTTTTTCAATGAATACTAAAGCCAGTTTTTTGGTGGAAAATTTTACATCTGGAAATACTTCACGTCTATTTTTACTTCACGACCTCCAATTAGAGCAGATGTAATCACGTCCATAAGATATTTGTGGAGGTAAAATATTTAACATCTAAAAATTTATAGTTTTTGTCCAGATATAAGTTTGTAAAAGTACATTTGTATGATGATTTTATGACTTACAAATGTTCTGTTATGCAATTTATAGTTATCTATGCACGCCAAACAACTGCATGAACAATTTTTTCTTCAAGCTTAGTAATTTGGCTTTGCTGCAGTAATCAATCTTTGAGTGACTCTTTTACATGCCATTATTTTACTTCTACAAATACTTTTTGAACTCTTCACGTTCACTTATGATTATAGTGGATGTGAAGTGATCTGAAAATGTGAAGTATATTCAGACTAAAATATGACATCAAAAAATCGATTCTTGTAAATTAGAAAATCTGCATATTTTGTTGATTTTATGATTACAGAAATGGTAAATGGTGTATTGTAATGTTCTATATTTTAGTTATTTATGTACTGATTCCAAAAAAAAAATGTATGCAGTACTTAATTTTCCTGTAGATCTAAATAATTTCACTCCGTTTTAATTTAATATTACTTTTTAGATGTCATTATTTTACATTTGATATACTTTGAAAACATTTACTTCACATCCGCTTTTACTTCACAATCATTTTTTGATTATGTGAAGTGATAAAGGTCATGAAGCATTTGTGGACGTAAATTATAGCAACTATAAATTGATATGTTCTATCTGGAAATTGTGTATTGTATTGCTTTGTTAAGTTTTGCTTCTAATATTGTCATTTTTAGTGACAGAAAGCTTGCAATTTACTAATTTCGATGTTGCCAACATTAACGACAGCTATCTAAAAAACGTATTTAATTTCCAATTTTTGAAGACTGAACGCGGGCCTCTCTATGATAATCCAAACATAAATTGGTCACTTACGTCCTTATTTTTGAGGAACTGGTCCACCATCGCGGCCGTCCCGAACCCTGTGAGTGACTTAACGTTATTGGAGTGAACGAGGAACCTCCTACACTGAGAAAAAATATTGAAAGCCAAGGCCCTCATGTGGTCGCTGTGCCTCATCCTGTCTCTGGCCTTATTCAGCTCCACTATACTCTCTAATGATATAATCTGCGAGAAAAAAAGAAACGTTCACGAGAAGTTCAAATTTTAGTCGGGAAATCGGCACTTACCTGTACACTGATATTATTCCGTATGTTCTCTGGAACCGCAGCCAAGACGGACTGGTAGCACCTGAGAAGGGCGAGGCACGCCAGCCTCTGCAGCTCCGGTTGGTCGGAGCCCAACGTGAACGGCTCCACCAGGTAGACCACCACTGAAGGCACCTCTCGTTCGTCGTCGTCGTGAGCAGACTCGGACACGTTGCTTATCGGGGGGACGTCTTTAATCCCGTCGCCGTCTGCACGATAAATACCATTGTAACGGGAGAATGCGGTAATAAAATTACAATTAAAATACACACAGGTTGATATATTATTTCCAACAAGGTGTAGAACTCTGAAGAATAGGTAATTTTTCCAAAAATTGCTTTTATTTTCAAAAATTTCATTTTACAATAAAAAAAAATAAAAATAAACTGATTTTTCTACTGTGTCTTTCCTTTTAAACACACGTTTTTCCAACCGGATTGGAAGTGTCAGATAACTTCTTAACAGATACCTTTCTGCATATAAACGAGATGCTACGTCTGCACTTTGTCAGTACTCCCCGTAAATTAAAGCATGTCTACTCGTACAAGTTCGGTGTTTTTATAAATCAGTACCACTATTTGGAAAATGCACAGAATACAAGTTTTATGTTTTATTAAAAATGACTCAATTTTGAGAACACCCTGTATAAAAGTAGAAACCTTCAATTAAGCCCATTTGATACTAATAGAAGGATTTGAAGTCACATATTTGCTAAAAACAAACTTCTGTAGAGGAGTTTCTTACCTTGATCGCTCTTCGGAGTGGCAGGGGCTTTATCCGAACTGGAACTTGACTGGCTCCCGGTGTTATCCGGTGTGCTAGGTGGGGGCATGGGACTGGGTGTCGGTTGTTCCGAATTCTCCAGAGGTGGATCTAACAGGGTTTTATCCATGGGCACCTGCTGAAGGTGGGGCGCCAAGTGGTGCTTGCAAACCTACGAGAGATTTTTATGATATCAAGCCTGGTTTAACTTTACCAATTTTTCACCCAATAAATTGGCCAAGAAATTGAGAGTGGGAGAAATAACCCAACATTTTGAGTTTCAACTTGAAATTTGGTAAACAAAATGAAAATCATCGTTCGCCCCAGAAATAAAAACAAAAAGTTTCCGAAAAATTATTTGCAATAAATGTCACAACTGTTTTCTGAAAATATTTTTGCAATCAGTGCAACAAATTTAGTTCTCTGCAAATTATCTAGCACAAATAGTTAACGGATTTTTTGAAAATTAGTTCGCAGTACATTTTGCAGAAAATCGTTCTCAAAAGTAATTTTACATTAATTGCTACAATTTTCATTAGCAATAAATAAATTTATGAAACATTTCGAGTTTCAACCATGAAATTTTGTTTTTGAACATATAATTTCAATTTCCAACTCAATATTTTCAGTTTAAATGACCAATTGTTCACCCAATAAATTGGCCAAGAAATTGAGAGTGGGAAAAATAACCCAACACTTTGAGTTTGAACTTGAAATTTGGTAAACAAAATAAAAATCATCGTTTGTCGCAGAAATAAAAACAAAAAGTTTCCAAAAAATTATTTGCAATATATGTCAACTGTTTTCTGAAAATATTTTCGCAATAAGTGTCACAAATTTAGTTCTCTGCAAATTATCTAGCACAAATGGTTAACGGATTTTTTGAGAATTAGCCCGCCATAAATTTTGCGGAAAATCATTTTCAAAAGTAATTTTACTTTAATTGCTACAAATTTCATTAGCAATAAATAAATTTATGAAACTTTTCGAGTTTCAATCATGAAATTTTGTTTTTGAACATAAAATTTCGATTTTTCAACTCAATAATTTCAGTTTAAACGAATAATTTTTCACCCAATAAATTGGCCAAGAAATCGACAGTGGGAGAAATAATCCAATATTTTGAGTTTGGAACTTGAAATTTCGTAAACAAAATAAAAATCATCGTTTGCCACAGAAATAGAAACAAAAAAGTTTCCAGAAAATTTTTTGCAATAAATGTCACAACCAGTTTCTAAAAATATTTGCAATAAGTGTCACAAATTTAGATCTCTGCAAATTATCTAGCATCTAGCACAAATGGTTTAACGAATTTTTTGAAAATTAAACAAAATAAAAATCATTGTTCACCGCAGAAATAGAAACAAAAAGTTTCCAGAAAATTATTTGCAATAAATGTCACAACTGTTTACTGAAAATAATTATGCAATAAGTGTTACAAATTTAGTTCTCTACAAATTATCTAGCACAAATAGTTAACGGATTTTTTGAAAATCGTTTTTGAAAGTAATTTTAAATTAATTGCTACAAATTTCATTAGCAATAAATTTATGAAACTTTTCGAGTTTCAATGTTTAATCATAAAATTTTGCTCGTCATTTTTAGTTTAAATTTGAAATTTCAAGGAATATTACCGATACTTTTTTATGTATCATATTTATACTTAAAATTTCAACTTTGAACTTGAAATTTTGAGTCTCAAATTGAAACATGGTAAACAAAACAAAAAATTTATGGTTTTTCACCCTTTCACAGATAAATATTATTTGCCATTCGCTGCAGAAATCTAAAAATAAAACAAATTTTCAGTAAATTATTTCGCAATAAATGTCACAATATCCGTTTTCTGCAAATAAATAGATATCATAAATCTATGATATTTTTGCAATTTATCTAGTAGTAAATGTCACATGGGATATTGACAAAAACTAATTATCAGAAATAAAAAACGGATTTTCTGAAAACTATTTTTCCATAAATTTCGCAAAAAATTATTTTGCAATAAATCTCATAGACCCCATTTTTGAAAATAATTTTATATTATTATGAGCAATAAAAGAATATCATATGAAACTGTTGGAATTTTAATGTTTAATCATGAAATTTTGAGATTGGACACAAAATTTCAACTTTGAAATTGAAATATTACGTTTAAACCTCAATTTTGGCAAACAAAATAAAAAATGTATGGTCCTTTTTTTGTTTTCAGATAGAGAAAGAAAAACTAGTCTACAAAAAATTATTTCGCATTAAATGTCGCAACCATTTTCTGAAAATAATTTTGCAATAAAATGTCACAAATATAATTTTCTGCAAATTATCTAGCCATGGTTTGTAGTTAGCTGTTATTGATTCATTTTTAGTTTAAAAATTGCTAGCCTCAAATTTGACCAATAAATTGCCCAATTTATTGTAACCAATTTCTTGCCCAATCATTTGAAAAATTTACCACGTCAAAAACTATAAAATACAAGACGCATTCCAAAAAACTTGCAATTCGCATTCACCACTCACCTGCGCGTACAACTTCAGCATGTCGCTCGTTTCGCCCTCCCCCAGCAACGTGAACCACTCCTCCACCGGTTCGTTGCCGATATTGGTCTTCGCCGTCTTCCCCACCCTGAGGATCCCGTCCCTGAGCACTTTCGTGATGGGGATGTGCCTGCCCAGCTTGCACATCTCGTAGAACGTAGAGAGCTCCTTGAAGAAGGTCCTAACCCTGGGTAGAATGGCCTCGTTGTCGGGGGCCACTACGATATAAGCCACGTCCCTGGAATAGGAGTACGGTTCGAGGAGGAGGCTCTCCCAGTGCTGCAGCGCGTACGGGGAGAGAGACAGCCAGTCCTTCTCGTGGCCCACGATGACCGAGGGGATCGGTTGGGGCTCGCATCGGTCGTCGGCTCCTGAAAGAAATATCGAAAGTTTTTAAATATTTCGACAAAACGTAATTTTTTGTAAGAATTTCCAGATTGTTGACTACTTTTCACCCATTACAACATTCTTACCTCTCCCGGCAAGCCTATGGAACTGTCTCCAAGTGAGAGGGCCTTTGACAGAGGAAGGGGCTTCCCACAACCTCGTCTGGCATTTCTTCTGGATCGCTTCCTGCAGCAAGGGCTGCAGATTCCTCATCACCCTCACGATGTCCTGGTTGCACTGAGGTCCCGAGGCCCTCAAGAAGGGCCACCGGTGCACCGCCACCGTCTGGGAGTTTTTCGCGTATTTGGCATCTTCCACCTAAATAAAAAAAAGTTTCAAATTTTTTGAACAAAAAGCAACTAAATACATTTCAAAAGTCAAAAAGACAAAGAAATTTTGGTTTCTATCTCACCTTGCACAGACCCATGCTCTCCAAAAAGCTCTTGCTCTGCTCGAGGGCTATGCTGGTGACCTCGTTGCTGTCGGAGAACTCCAGGACGTTGATCGTGTTGGTGTACAGACCCACCTTGGTCCTTACGTACCTCGCCGCCCGGCACAGGGAGTTGGCAGTGCTCGGTATGAAGACAAGTTGCTCCCTGACGAGCTCCAGGAGGCTGTGAGATAAGATGTCTAATTGTTCCCTGTCCACGTTCGGGTCCAGTTTTATCGAGTTGGCCGTCATGAGGAACGAGACCAGTGAGGATTTCTTCTTTTCGCCGGGATCCTCCGCTATACCTAAAAAAAGGAATTTTATGCAATGCAATAACCTCCACGAAAATTTTACAAATAGTATGAAATAAGTCATTTGTATGTAACAGATATCGAAGAGGGTTCAGGACAGTGCCTTGAGGAACATCAATTTTAATGTGTTATATTAAATTCTAAGAGACATACATGTCTTACAAATTTTTGTATTTGCTTATTTGGTAGTATTCGAAAAATTAAGCCGACTCTTCATTATTCGGAATTTTAAGTACCAGGAAAGTATATAAAAATAAAATAGTAAAAATTTAAAGACGTCATTCGCCTTGATTGCATTGCAACTGTGAGTCATTTCCTGTTGTTTTTACTGCTTCCTAAACTGAACTCTCTGCAATTTGTCAATCGGGGGTAGTTGTTGTGAAATTGTTGTAACTAATGTTGTCGTCAGTCGATTGTTTATACTAGTATTACAGAATAATTTTTTGTGTAATATTAGAATGAAGAAACAGATTTTTTCAAAATTATCTCGCAATAAATGACACAATTTCTATTTTCTGGTTTGTATTCGCTTTTGTGGATAAACCCTAATCATCATTCGCTGCAGAAATGGAAAAAAAATCTAGATTCTAGAAAATTATCTCAATATAGATGTTACAAATTTAGTTATCTGCAAATTAACAATAAATATAACGTCGAGGCTTGTTAATCATTAAACATCACTTATTGCAAAAATGAAGAAACAAATTGTTTCAAAATTATCTCGCAATAAATGTCACAAACAATTTTGCAATAAATATCTCAAACTTCATTCCCTGAAAACAATCTCGCAATAAATGTCACAACTTCTATTTTCTTGCAACAAACGTTACGAATTTAATTTTCAGCAAATTATCTAGCAATAAATGTCACAAGGAAACTTAATAAGAACTAATAATTACATGCACAATGGCATGGAGAAATGGATTGTTTGAAAATTACCTCACAGAATTCGTTTCCTGAAAATTATCTCGCAATAAATGTCATAACTGGAATGAAGAAAACAGGTATTTTCAAAATCATGTTACAAAAAAATTATTTTGCGAAATCACAATTTCGTTTACCGAAAATTACCTTGCAAAAAGTGCTACAAATTTAGTTTTCTGCGAATTACCTAGACTGGAAGCTTGACAAGCGCTGATCATTCACTGTAAGAAAAACATTTTTTTTAACTACCTCACAATAAATGTCACAAAAAATTATTTCGCAATAAATTTTGTGTTTGAACTTAAAGCTTTGAGACAACTTGAAATTTGGTAAAAAAGAATGTGCACCTATGGTTTGTCTACACTTTCGTAAACAAACGCTAATCATCATTTGCTGCAGAAATGGAAAAAAACCAAGATTTTAGAAAATTATCTCAAAAATAGAGGTTTCAAATCTAGTTTTCTGCAAATTAACATAAATGTAACGGCAAGACTTATAAATCATTAAACGTTGCAGGAATGAAGAAATAGATTTTTTCAAAATTATTTGGCAATAAATGTCACAAACAATTTTGCAATAAATACCAGGAACTTCATTCCCTGAAAATGATCTCGCAATAAGTGACACAACTTCTATTTTCTGAAAATAACCTAGCAATAAATGTTACGAATTTAATTTTTTGCAAATTATCTAGCAATAAATGTCACAAAGAAACTTAACAAGAACTAATAATCACACTTGTAATGGCATAAAGAAATGTATTTTTTAATATAACCTCAGAAATCGTTTCCTGAAAATTATCTCGCAATAATTTCCCGAAAATTACCTTGCATTAACTGTCACAATTTCCATTTTCTGAAAATAATTTGCAGAATCTGCTACAAATTTAGTTTACCGCAAACTATTTAGCACTAAATGTCACTGATTATTCACTGAAGGTAAAAAAAAATTTTTTTTAGCTACCCCACAAAAAATGTCAAAAAATTATCTTGCAATAAATTTTATGTTCGAACATAAACCTTTGAGAACTTGAAATTTGGTAAAAATTTTTTTGTAAGTATGGTTGGTTTATGCTTTCGTAAATAAATTCTAATCGTCATTCGCTGCAGAAATGGAAAAAAATCAAGATTCTACAAAATCATCTCAAAATCGATGTTACAAATCTAGTTTTCTGCAAATTAACAATAAATGTAACATCGAGACTTGTTAATCATTAAACGTTACTCATTGCAGGAACGAAGAAAACAATTTTTTCGAAATTATCTCGCAATAAATGTCACAAACAATTTTGCAATAAATATCACAAACTTCATTCCCTGGAAATGATCTCGCAACAAAAGTCACAACTTCTATTTTCTGAAAATAACCTTGCAATAAATGTTACGAATTTAGTTTTCTGCAAATTATGTATCTAGCAATAAATGTCACAAGGAAACTTGACAAGAACTAACTATCACACTCGTATGGCATGAAGAAATAGATTTTTTTGAAAATTACCTCACACAATTCGTTTCCTGGAAATTATCTCGCAATAAATGTCATAACTTTAGTCTTCTGAAAATAACTATAATAATTAGATGATAAACTAATAAACACTAATCATCTGCTGGAATGAAGAAAACAAGTATTTTCAAAATCATCTCGCAATAAATGTTACAAAAAAACTATTTTGCAATAAATATCACAACTTCGTTTCCTGAAAATTTACTAGCATTAACTGTCACAACTTCCGTTTTCTGAAAGTTAATTTGCAAAAAGAGCTGCAAATTTAGTTTTCCGCAAATTATCTAGCAATAAATGTCACTGGAAGCTTGACAAGCACCGATCATTCACTGCAGATATGAAAAACTTTCTTTTTAACTACTCCACGATAAATGTCACAAAAAAATTATCTTGCAACAAATTTTGTGTTCGAACGTAAATTTTGGGACAACATGAAATTTGGTAAAAAAAAAATTTAGTATGGTTTATGCTTTTGTAAATAAACGCTTATCATCATTCGCTGCAGAAATGGAAAAAAATTAAGATTTTACAAAATCATCATAAAACCGATGTTACAAATCTAGTTTTCTGCAAATTAACATAAACGTAACGTCGAAGCTTGAAAATCACTAAACATCACTCATTGCAGGAATGTAGAAACAATTTTTTCAAAATTATTTCTTAATAAATGTCACAACTTCTATTTTCTGAAAATAACCCTGCAATAAATGTTACGAATTTGGTATTCTGCAAATTATCTAGCAAAAATTTAAACACTAATCACCCGCTGGAATGAAGCAAACAGGTTTTTCAAATTTATCTCGCAATAAATATTACAAAAAAATTCTGAAAATTAATTGGCAAAAATTGCTACAAATTTAGTTTTCTAGAAATTATGTAGCAATAAATGTCACGTGTTAAAAATCATTAATGAAAAAAAAAGAATTTTTTTGAAAATTATCTCATCACAGCTTTACTTTCTAAAAATAATCTTATTAGAAATTTCGTTTTCTGATCACTTTTAGAGCCAATATGGATAAACCGCTGAATGTTAAACAAACAACACACCATTTCATGGTAATTAACTTATGAAAAAACAAATTTTTGATATACCTATGGCACCTATACCATGAATGCCCTGTATATTCGATGACTAGGTGTTAATACTTTTTCTTTAAAGATAATTGAAAATTTACGTCGATATCAAGTTGTCCAACCGCAACAAAATAAAAAGAATTCAAATTTGTCAAGTCATTTATACACAGCAAATATCAAATAGGGCCAGAGACTCCACCTCGAGGAACACCAATTTAATTCCCAACAGTAAGAAATCGTTAATATCGGAACTCACCAGTAATTTCCATCTCGTCCTCGTAGAATAACCCGCTGCCGTACGCCAGCCTCCTATTGACCACCGCCGAGAAACCGCAACTACACCTTATAGAGTCCTCGTCGCTGCAGTGGTGCTCCTCATTCATCATACCCCCGTAGGGGGGCGGCTGCCCCATACTGCTACCCAGGTACGGACTGGTGGGCTGCGCGCTGGCGTGCTGCTTGTCACTTGTAGAATTCAAAAGGTATATGCCCGAGTCGGCGCCGCGGATATTCCCCACCACCTTCCCGCCCGCGTTACACACGCACAGCGTACAACTGTCGAAGTTGTGGTCGCGGAAGATATTGAACGCGGTGTCGGTAAGGAGGATGTTCAGCACTAAGCTCGAGGCTTCAGGTGTCCTTTGCACTGTGGGCGTCGGCACCGCCTCGACAGAGTTCAGGTTCTTGTTTAGGTACGAACTGGCCGTCGACGTGGCGGGACTAGCCATCTCGTAGGGTGGCGGCGGCGGCCTGAAACCGGTATGCAGCGGACTAGGCGGGAAGATGTTCGCGTTCTGGTGCATGCTGTTCGGCACCGAACTGGGCAGGGCGGCCTGGTTGGGCTGGGAGACGTTGTTGGTAAGCGGCTGGATGGGTTTGTCGACGTGCTGCATCCACGATGGTTTGTAGGTGCAGTTCGGCGGCACGCTGACCGGCGGTAGGTTCTGGCTAGGCAGGTTCGTCAGCGGGGCGTACTTGCTGCTGCCCACCATCTTGCTTATGATGGGCGGTTTGAAGACGTAACTCCAATCCTCTGAAAAATTAAAAAAGAATTTAAACACACAGTAGAAAATATTTAAATATGAATAAAAAGACTTCACTCACCTATATTTTCTTCCTGAGGGCTGCCCATGTTGGGGTAGATCTCCTGTTTCACCCGAACTATACCGAGATCGGTATAATCAGGTGGCGGCAGATCCAGCTGACCGCAGGGCGATGCAATGGGATTGGGTTCTAGGCTTGGTGGGGTCGGAAACATTTTGCACAATTCCTCTGGTCGTAGGATGCCCATGGTGGAACACCCGTGACCGGACAGCCTCTTTCCCTCGTCATGATGGTTGACAGTTGTAGCGCCGGGTGGCGTTTGTACCTGCATCTGATCATTAAAAACGTTTCCTTAATCGTGTAGCACCGTAGAAGTGAATTGTAAATTTAGTTTCCATATGTAAATTTACAAATGCAACTTCTATCGGTAAATTTACGGCATGAGATTGCAAAATGAATTTGAAACTGCAAAATTTACAATTTCCTCATAAATTTACAATTATAACTTTTAATAATAAATTGACAGCTGAGAATTTTAAAATTACAGCTGCAAATTGTAAATTTATGATTTCTGAATTTACAACTTCCAATGGCAAATTTACAGACTGTAAAATTATAGCTGAAAATTACACATTTGCAATTTCAATTAACAATATAAATCTACAAATTAGATTTATTCAGTTTAGAACTCGAAATTGAAATTTACAGGAGGAAATGAAAATTTACTTTTTACAAAAAAAAATATAATTTGGAAATTGAAAATTAGACAAAAATTGTAAATTTACAATTTCTGAATGTAAATTTACAAATTACAACATTAAATTTACAACCGGAAATTGAAAAATTACAGAAGAAAATTAAGAAAAATGGCTAAGTTACAAATTTACAATTTTTAATATGAAATAGTAAAATTACAGATGAAAAACTGGTAAATTTACGACTTTCTAAAGAAAATGTATAATTATAACTTACGACAAATTTATAGTAGGAAGTTGAAAATTAGTCAAAAATTGTAAATTTGCAATTTCTGAATATAAATTTACAAATTACATTAAATTTACAACCGGAAATTGAAAAATTACAGAAGAAAATTAAGAAAACGGCTGAAAGTTACAAATTTACAATTTTCTAATATGAAATTGTAAAACTACAGATGAAACTGGTAAACTTACGACTTTCTAAAGAAAATGTATAATTATAACTTCTTACGACAAATTTATAGTTGGAAATTGAAAGTTACATACAAAAATTGTAAATTTACAATTTTTGAATATAAATTTACAAATTACATTAAATTTACGATCGGAAATTGAAAAATTACTGAAGAATAATGGTTGAAAGTTAAAAATTTACAATTTTCGAATATGAGATTGTAAAATTACAAATGAAACTGGTAAACTTACGACATTCTAAGGAAAATGTATAATTATAATTTATAACTTACAACAAATTTATAGTTGGATTTTGAAAATTATATACAAAAATTGTAAATTTACAATTTCTGAAAATAAATTTACAAATTAAAACAGTAAATTTACAACCAGACATTGAAAAATTAAAGAAAAAAAATTAAGAATAATGGCTGAAAGTTAGAGATTTACAATTTTCAGATATAAAATTGTAAAACCACAGATGAAACTGGTAAACTTACGACTTTCTAAAGAAAATGTATAATTATAACTTCTTATGACAAATTTATTGGAAATTGAAACCTACATTAAATTTACAACCGGAAATTGAAAAATTATAGAAGAATATTAAGAATAACGGCTGAAAGTTAAAAATTTACAATTTTCGAATATGAAATTGTAAAATTACAAATGAAACTGGTAAATTTACGACATTCTAAAGAAAATGTATCATTATAACTTCTTACAACAAATTTATAATTGGAAATTACAAATTACATATAAAAATTGTAAATTTACAATTTCTGAAAATAAATTTACAAATTACAACATTAAATGTATAACTGGAAATTGAAAAGTTACAGCGGAAAATTAAGATTAACAGCTGAAAGTTACAATTTTCAAATATGAAATTGTAAAATTACAGCTTCAAAATGGTAATTTTATGATTTCCAAATATAAATTTACAAATGAAGTATTAAGTTTCATCTGGAAATAGAAAAATTACAGGTGAAAATGGTAAATTTATGATTTTTCAAAAGAAAAATTACAATATAAATTTACAGCTGCAAGTGCAAATTTTCAAATGTAAATTTACAATTACAACTTCTAACCGTGAATTTGCATTTGTCTAGCAAGTGACCTAATTACGGTACAGTAAAACCGTCAAAACTTACCGCCTCGTCGCTGCTGGTATAATCCGAATTGTCGAAGATTTGTTCCAGGTCTTTATAGGAGGGCTGCAGACCTTCGCTGGTGAATAAATTTTCCGTCGCCTTCTTCACCTCCTTGTTCTCCTCTTTTATGCCAGTCTGGCCTCTCTTGAAGCCATCCATGTTGCAATTCGATCCGCCACCATCCTCTTCGAATTCGTACGGATCGCCCGGCCTTTTAACCCCGTGAGGGTGGGAACCGACAGATGAGGCAGCATCAGTTTCCATCTAAAAAAACAATATGATGTAAAATTGAAATATGTAGTAACAGAGTAAAAAATTACACTCACGTTTTGACCCGATTCTGATTTAATCTCCTGCTTGATGTTAATCTGCGAAGTCTTCCCGTTGACCGGTTCACCGTTCGGGTTACCTACGCAGTTTTTCTCATACATCGAATAGATATCCATCTTCCCCAGCCCTCCCATCCTCTGGGCGTCCTTTCCGTCCGGCTTAAACTTCTTGATGGGATGATTAAGCCAGGCGTTCAACGTGGAGTAATCGTACAGCATCTCCAAGGTCTGCTCTTCCTCCCCCAGGGCCACCTCGTACTCCTTGCTGCTCAAAAAAGGCCTCTTCAGCATGGGTAGGCTCGCTGTATTAGTGGGCGGCTCCCCCTTCGAGTCGTTCTGCCCTGCGGGACTGTTACTAGGACTCTCCACGCTTTTAGGTGGGTGGTCGGGCGTGTGGGTCTTGTCTGCAGGCGACGGATTGTTCGTCGGAGGGTGGGGAGACAGAGTGGGCATCGTCTGGTCCCCCGGCGGGACGGAAGCCGGTTGAGAGTGAGGGTTCGGAAGGGGGGAGGGCGCCACGGAGGGCGACGACCCGACGGAAGGTATTGCCATGGATTCCTGGGTGCGGGGGTAAGACGGTGGGCCCCCTTGCGGTGTGTAAGAGCCGGTGCATCTGAAATTGCAGAAGGGAGGGTTTGAATTATAGAATTTGGCGAGTTTGTAGGGTATATGTAAACGGTAAAACCACAGACAAAACATTTTTTTTTTATTTCACAAGCAAGTAAAAATTAAGCAAATGAAAACAAGTTCAACAAAACTGCGACTTTTATAGTTGACGTTGCCCTAAAATTAGAAAAGTTCATTGAATTTATTCTATTTAAAAGTATATTTTTCAATAATTTTTTAATATTCAAGGAAAAATCGTCAAAATTATATTTTTCAGCGTTTTTAATTTTTTTTAAACAAACTACCTAATACAAAGATGTGATATTTTCCAAAAATTCCGTAGGTTCACATTTTTAAAAGTGTCATATTTAAAAATTATATTATTTTTTTATGAACTATTTGATTTTTTGACGACTTCTTTAAAGCGAGATTATAAAATGTACCCTGGTTCGTTTATTTGAAATTGTGTTTTTGGCAAACATTATTTGACGAAATTTAAATAGATATATTAAAAAATGCCTTGTAAGGTTTCGTGGTCTTAATAACCAAATAATTTTTTGCAAAATATTCTTCCCGGAAAAATGAAAAATTTTTTTTACAAAATTATCTCCGTGTATGCAACCAGGTGTACACATACTCTGACTTTAAAGTTGCAGCACAGACGTGAATGATGAAAGACAAAACATACAGGATGTCCCAATTTTTAGGTGCAGAGGTCATTAATATAGTTAAAAAAACAAATGAAGGTCAAACAATTTTTATCGAATAGATCCGACTGTAAAATTCCAAATCCTAAGCCTGTTACAGCTTTTTGTGGCGCTAATTTTTAAGAAACTATTTTTTATTGGATTACTTTTGTGTGACTTTGAGGCATGTTATTTTAAAGTCACCAGATTTTTTTTAAGTCCAATACACATGAAGCAATGAATATTAAAAAATATGTCCAAGTGTTTTGTAAAAAATTTAGTATTAACAATATCGCTATAATGACAGGCAAATGTTACTAATTGTAAGAAAAAATAATTTAGGTGTTAAAATAACCATTTTTATCAACCTGATAGATTTGAAATATTTCTTAAAGTATTTCAAGTTTTTAATGAAAACTATTTGTTACTATTTTTATAAAGCACTGCGTTTAGTTTGTGAATCTCACTGTCAAAGACCCCTGACATAGACCTAGTTTAGGTGAATTAATTATGAATTCACCTGATGCATTATGACAACAGGGTGTTAGCCGTTAAAAAAGAAACGTCCAACGTTAATTCAGTGCAACGAGACTGATCGAATATATCATTTGATGATATTTTAATGTAATATTCTTGCAAATGTAAGTAAACCGCAAATATCTGAGAAAATTGAAACTGTAACCCCTACAATGCCTACAGCGGTTAAAAGAGAACTTGACTTTCTATAATATGATGCAGAAACACACAGGGTGTTTCATTTGAATTTAAAAACTTTTGTCGGTTTTAAGTTTTCAAAATGTAACGTGACATATGGGACACTTAGTAAAATTTTCTTCAGGTAATTTTGATAAGGGAAGGTAGAGCATCTTATGTCCTTTGTGTATTCCGAAAAGCAAGTGAAAGCTCCCATAACGAAGAAAGATATAAGGAATTTTCGAAACGCTTGCATCTGTCAAATTTTTTGTAAAATGACGATTATCTCGAAAACGATTAGATTTAGGTACAGGGAAGCTTTGACATTTTTGCCTTATTTTTAATTGACTTTGTTGATAATGCAATAATATACAGGGTGTTCCATTTAAAATAACGAAGTTGACAGCTACTTCCCGTATAAACGGAAGTGCTTCGTTGATAACATTATTTTCATTGAAGAGAACATATCTGATATCCCCCGTAAACAAAATTTCAAAGTCATATTCTCTCTGAAATGTTTAACAGGTCATTTACCGTGAAGAACCCTGTATATTAGACTTGGCACGACCGAGACATTAATGGTGCATTTACAGTTATAGTTTAGTATTGAACATGCATAGACGATCGCAAGATTTACAGATTTAAAAGTTAATCGGTTTTCTATAAAATCGGGAGATCATCATCGTCGGACTCCACAAGAAATCGAGAAGTTGAGAGATCAAGACAATAAGAGAGATCTCGGTTTTTGTTTATTGGTTTACCAGAAGGTGTTGCAATACGGTGAGTAATTTTGCACATTCTGCACGAAGTATTAGTTTTTACTGGAATCAAATAAGAATTTTTATAGTGCAGTATTTTTTTGTGTAGAATAAGCATATAACCTCATAAAGTTATTTAATTCTGCGTTTAGTGACGGTACGGTGTGTTTGTGTGTCTTCATTGTTAAATATCACAGTGATATTAAAAAAAATGTCTACGATTAAGTTTGAGAAAGACGATATTTAACAAAATTCATGAGGTTTGAGTATATACTGGCCTGTCCAGTGGAAGTTAAAAAAAATTCAGTTTTCACAATTTGAGAAAGCAATTGTTTCTAAAAGGAGCAATTTACACTTTCACACAAACAATTAAGTTTTTCTTGTAGCAAGCTCAGGATTTATAATGTGTAAGGGCATATGTAGTTTAAAAGTGATTCAATATTAGGGTTTTCTTAATAAAAAACGTTTTAATTTCATTTGTTTTCTCACTTATTGTGTTAACGACCTGTACTCCTATAAATGGGGACATGCTGCATTAAAAAAATGGCCTGAAAATATTAGACATGCTAAAGAGGAATATTATTCACTTAAACCAATACCAAATGTGTTTTAATGTGTTAAAATGGTATGTTCATTAGTAAAAAAAAATGACTCAATGTATTAATATTTAGCAAAGTTTATTGTCAGCCCGTCACCCCACTTTTTACAATTCGGGCAATTCTTAAGTCCCACGACGACAAACCGAATATCAAATCAATTAATTTATTTTGCTCGAAATATGTTTGAAGAATTAAAAATCAGTTTAAGGTGTAAGCGGCGTCGATTCGAGAGAGATTCGGTACCTTAAAGATTGCCCAAACTATAACGATGAAGCGAGTGACCAACCTTTCAGATGTCAGTGGTATGGGGGAGCGCCTGTGGAAGGGCACGCGCCCCCGCGCCGCCTTTCCAGGCCGGGGGGACGTCCCGCTACTCGCAGCCCACTTATTTGCATTGGTCGATGCGCCCAAGAGCTTTCTACACCTGAAATTTTGGTACAAGTTCAGTACCGTTCGGTTACCTTGCGGCTAGTGGCACAGCCGAAATGTACCGATCGGGAATTGAGGCGTTCTTTACCTTTCTCATACTTAAAACAAGTAGAATTTTAAATAATAAAGTAAAATAATTTTTTTAAATAATAGAGTTTATTAAGTTTTATTACTTTTAAATTTATTTATAGTTTTTTTTGTCTTCAAATTGTTTTACCAATTGTTACTGTCATTTTTCTTTTTTTATATATTACATATTGTGTTCCCATCCATTCAGTAATTGGATAATTTCTGCTGAATGGTATATCAAATAAATAAATAAATAAATAAATAAAAGAAACGGTCCTAGTATACCAATACTGGAATTTACTCGAGACAAGTGCATTAATAATTATTATTAGGATTCTTTTTTTGGCATTTTTAACACACTATCATAATTCAGTTTTCAAAAATGTTTAAAATTTTGAAAGTTTAACAGAAAATTAACGCTATCTATTCAAGAATGTCACCAAAATGCTGCCATGGCATCGCAATCTAAAAACAAACAAATAATTTTTGAGTTTTGTTGTTTTCAATTTTTTGAGTTCTAGTTTGAAATTTCATTTCTTAAGTTTGGGATTTTGTTGTGAAAAATGTTCTTACTTTTGGATTTTGTGCCACATTTGGGTAGCCCAAAAAAAATATATTATATTTTTTCGTGTCTCTTGTGAAAATATGTTAGAGTATCATGTTTTAAGAGCCCCCTCAAAAAATCAGCTTCAAAAAAATGTCTAGAGATCGCTCAAGATTTTTAAAAAATTCCAAAATCAAAAATTGAATTTTTTTTAAATTTTTTTTCTCGTTATTTTCTAGGTTGAAAAAATCTCGATTCTGAAAATTTCAAATTGATATTTTACCTAAAATGTTTTCAAACTATCTCTAAAAATAAATATCAACGAACCAATAATTTTTTTTATTGAATTTGATGAACAAACTTATAGAAATAAATCCTGACACTTACATTTTAAAAAATTAAAAATTTATAAATATTTGAAACTCAGTGTAGTAAATTTTGCCTCGAAAATTTTCAGAATCGAGATTTTTTTCAACCTAGAAAATGATAAAGAAAAAAAATTAAAATTAAAAAACCCAATTTTTGACGATTTTGGAAATTTTTAAAAATCTTTACCTCTAAACAAATTTTTTTGAGCTGATTTTTCGAGGGGGCACTTAAAACATGATAAACTAACATATTTTCACAAGACACGAAAAAAAATATTCGGTTTTTTTGGGACACCTTAACGCCTTTTATTTATTTATTTTGATGAACGTCATATATTCCTGAACGGCCTCACCTAACTTGCCTGCTCTTGCGTTTAACAAGAATCGGAGATAGCACTTGCATTACTTACAACAAAAAGTATACTTACCTCGGTAAGAATACACTATTTTACATCACTTACATCATAAAAACTGAAACCTTGTTGCAGATAAGATAGACCCTTGCCAGCACAAACTTAAAAGTCGATTAAAAATAAAATGTTTAAATCTTCGTGAGTTAAAATCCTGTGTAAGCTTTTAAATACATTTTGAATAGAATATTATGTTTTCACTACACATAATTTTCAGTTTTTCATAAAAATAAAGCAAAACAGAATTTTACAAAATCTCATCAAATTTAAAATTAATAAATTTTTAAAAAATATTCAATAAAAGTAAAACAATAATAAATAAACATGTAAATATGTCACAAAGTACTGTTTCTTTACAAATTTAATTTGTCCCGTTTTCTGATAATCGACAAAGTTAAATCACTTGAATAAAAATACAATAAAAATTATAAAACAGTAAATTTGAATAAACGATTTAATTGAAAATCTATGGATACTACAAACATAACCTCAAAAATTCGATTATCTTTTTTTTTGCAACAAAAAATACACGTCCCTGTATGAAATAATGGAAAATAGTTAACAAGAAAAGGTGCACCAAGTAATAAACTAATGAATATATTAAAAAAAAACAATTAAAACTTCTACATTTTGAGGTTATGGTAGCTGCGACTGTCAAACGTCAGAACTGTTTATACTGAGGACACTGTCTACGTGAAAAGAATTCAGTTTTTATCGCAAGAACAGGATGAAATCGACAACAAAAAATTAGGCTTTCTACTCACTTAGAACAGGTACAATTGGTCCTCCTGGTGGGATCTACAAAATCCCAGTTACCGTTGAACTCCTTCTCCTGATGTTGCCCGCCCGTCCCCCCACCAAGCACGCACTCTTGCCAGGTACGTTCCGGCAGTACGGTGGCCGCCGTCTGCTCTCGGGACATCGAGTTGATGTGCTCGACGGACACCTAAAAAAAAAGCACACTGATAATAGAATTTTTCCTATTTTTATTTTATACTTAAAAAAAAAATAATTTTGCACCAGTTAGGGCATCCTTTGCAGAAACGCCATGAATCAAATTGTGTCCAAATAGATAATGCTACTATAGAGACCTGCCATTTACAAACTATTCGTTCGAAAAGGACAAATCAGCGTGTTTTTTAATAAATTCAATGTTTATAAAAGATTTAATACTTTCCTGACTCATTGGCTCATGGCCTTGGATGCATAGTTTTGTTTCGACACAGTCGTTTCATCTCGGTCTTTATGTAATTCATAAATTATAGCAAAAGAATCAATCGGACAGACATTAGCATCGATTAATTAAAAATACATATATCAAATCAAATGAGACATGAGCTTCAGAGTGTACCAAATCGAATGCGAAGATTCGAAAAGCCAACTCACGCTGATTGTGGCAGTTGTGAGTCATTAACAAACGAATCTCAGTGAACGGAGACATCTAAAGAAATGTTAAAATATCTTCGATAGGCCTTTAAAATTAATAAATGTATTAAACGTTTTCCGCATTTGTACTCTGAACTAAAAGGCAAATGCATAAAAGAAGTCAAATTTTATAGCTGTCGTACAGGGTATTTTTATCACATATCGAACAACTTATATTATTTTGGCAGAAATATGTACCTAAGCGGCCATTACCCAGAAACTGTCAATCGTCTCCTCACATGCATTGCGTAAAAGAGTAATTTGACAGTAAGCCAGACACATTATAGACCAGTAAAGGAAACATTTTGAAATTCTGGGCGTGATTTTATTGTTGGAAAGTCATGGGAATGATAATACAAGGGACGTCTCATCTCATGGGTCATGGAAAAAATAAAGCGTCATTGTTTTTTATCAATAAATAGGTCAAAATTTCGTCATTTTTCATTCTACGCGTTAAACTATTAATCTTAACAAAACATGTTCAACAGACTATTTGATCTAGAGATCTAGATCTTTAAAATAAGAATTTATAAGTTAAAATTGCTTTATAAACAAAAAATTTATTGCAAAATTAAACGAAAAAAGTGCTTTTTCTTTAATTATTAATAACTTTTTAAATGATTAATAAAATCTTCCCAAACTTTCCCAAAATGTGAGTTTTTATATCGTTAATAGATGGGCTCGATCGGTCAAATAGTTTTTGGAAAATTCCATTTATTTATCCACGATTATGACTAAAACATTCTTTTTGGGCTAAGCTCGTAAAAAACCTACAAATTATTGTTTATTGTTACAGTTTATATTAAAAAATATGTTAGGCCTTACTTATAGAAAACATATAAAATAATTACAGTATATTAAAATTAACACTAAGTTGAGAAAAGAAACAGAAACGTTATACACTGCACCTATGTGAATTAACACTTGTATTGTGCAAGCACAAAATCCATTAAATATATGCTGTATATACAATAATTAGAGTAAAATTCAAATTATTATCTTTCACATTAGCAAGGATATTATTCAATCAATGACAAAAATGAGATGTTACTTAAGTATATTTTACAGAGATGTGAGTATTTTTTAATTTTTAGTTCTTTTTATTTCTAAAGGTAATAAGTTGTAGGTCTTAGGAGCTAAATGTTCCGCAAATCTCAAACCTATGGTTTTATTATTATATTTGAAAAAAAAAATTTTCTACGACCAATAGGTCCGTAGTTAGCAATTTTTTTTAACTAGAGGATACTTGTATCCCTTCGAAGAAAATGAGCCCTAAAAGAATGTTTTAGTCATAACCCTACCCCCGGAATAGTCATTTAAAACAGGGCCTTTTTTGCAAAAATGGGATAAATAAATGGAATTTTACAAAAAATATTTGACCGATAGAGCCCATCTTTTGCAGATCTCACATTTTGGGAAAGTTTGGTAAGATTTAATTAATTATTTAAAAAGTTATTAACAATTAAAGAAAAAGCACTTTTCTCATTTAATTTTGAAATCAATTTTTTGTTTATAAAGCAATTTTAACTTATAAAGTCTCATTTTAAAGATGAGTCTCTCTAGATCAAATCGTCTGCTGAATATTTTTTGCTAAGATTAATAATTTTTTTACAATAACGCGTAGAACGAAAAATGACGAATTTTTGACCTATTTGTTGATAAAAAACAATGAAGCTATACATTTTTCATGACCCACTTGATGAGACGTTTCTTGTATTATCATTCCCAAGACTTTCCATCAATAAAATCACGCCCAGTAATTTTCACAATTTCTCGATGATTTTTCACCTTTATTTCTTGGTCTATTAGGAAAGAAATTACTAACGATATGAAAATTAAAATGGGGCACGTATTAACACACATTATAACTCCAAATAATGCAAAAGTTTCTAATGTGGTCTCGTTGAACTTTTGGCATCGTACAGTGATGTTTCAATATTTTTATGCCGTTTCGAAAGCCAATACAACAAAATAAATTGCCACAATAACAAATAAGTAGGAGTAGAAATAAACATACTTTAAAAATGTGATTTTAAAAGATTTTAAATACTTTTAAATATGAAAAATAATATTGCGAAGTTAATAAAAAAACATTTGAAAGATTTTTTAAAAAACATATTTACTGTCTTATTCTTACTTTATTGTAAATTTAAGCTAATTCAAACAAATTAAAAATTTTTTTGTAAAGAATCTTATCAAATGACTTCATTTAAGGTTTTTTAGAATTTTTTTTGAATTTATTGGACCTTCATAATAAAACAAATATAGTCTTATAATAGCAACTAATTAAAATTATAAATAATAATTTTAATACTACCTAATTTTACAAGTAAAAAGAGTTACTGTCGATATATTAACTTGGGCAAAAACTTACCGTGTACGAACCCGGCTGGGGCACCCTGCTGTTGATCTGCATGGGGCTGGGGGGCGGAGTGTGGACCAAAACGGGGCTGGCGCCCCTCTTCTCCGCTCTCTCGCTGGGCGGACTGGATGGCAGCCCATTTAGAATGATGGAGTTGTCGTTGTCGTCCAGGTCGGTGACGAGGACGTAGCAAGAGGGATACCTCATCTTGACCCCTCCGACGATCACCTCCACCACGCTGCTGTCGGTGAGGCTGTTCGACTTGTCCAGGGGGTAGAACTGGCTCCAGTCGTCGAGGAGGCGGGTGGTGGCCTCGGAAGATTTGAAACTTTGGCCCGTCAGGGTGCCAGCCAGGCCGAATGGGGCCACGATCGCTGAAAGTTCATCGAATGTTAAACCGTTTAGTGGTACAAAGTTTAAACAGATTTAAAACATAAAAAACCGTTCAATTTTTATTCTAAATTGCAAAGTATTACATTTGTAATCAAGAATTAAGTTTTTTTGTAAGCACCAGTGAGTAAAAAAACTATTTGTTCAATATTTTTTTGGAAAATGTTTCCAAATATTGCTAAAATAGCCGATAAATTGATTAAAAATTTAGACAATTATGATAAATTTATTTGACGTTTTAGAACAAAAAAGTGTTTTTTTCGTCCAGCTAAGTGGTGTCTCTTTGGCATTCAGAAAACAGAATTAGAATATCAACATTTATTTCAAAAAAATTTTGTTCATAAAATCATTAATTTAATTTTCTACTTTTTCAAAATATGGAACTAAATATTTTTTTAGTATCTGAATTAGATGTATTTCATAAAAAAAAATAAATGGGTTAAAAACATAATAAAAGGATTTCATCGCAATCATTATCGTTGCAATTAGAGTAATTTAATATTTATTTACTTTTCGGTAACTGATCTGGCGATAAAAAATTAATATTGTCGTTCATTTATGTCTTAATCTTGACAAAATCTTGATCTCAAATTATTCGGGTATTAAAAATATATATTTTTATCAGTATTATGCTTAGTGGTATGTTTTTGTTATCTAACCTAACTGACATTAACTAGACTACATCTCAAGTACTTGTTAAGTAATATAACATGAATAATAGCAATAGCTTTAATAAAGAATATTTTTGAGTAGCCTTTCAACTAGTTATAATTTTATTTAGTTACACTCGAAATTAAAATATGCACTTTACTCTCTTGATACATAGTTGTGTATCTAGTTTAATTTTATAGATGTCAGATCAGAGTGTACACAAAATAGAGCATCTACATCCAAGGTGCTAATCCCTTGCGTGATTACTTCATCCTTTCCAATTAAAAAGTACATTTTACTCCCTTGATACATATTTCAAAACTAAAGTGAGTAAACTTCACACTCGAGACTAAAAGATACACTTTAGCCCTATCAGTTTATAATTACTATGTATTTAGTTTTAGTAATTTCAGATCAGGCAGTGAAGAAAATGGTGTATGCATCTTAGGACTACTCATTTAGTTCTTGCACTTTAGCTCCCTGGTGCACTACCTGACTAAATTCACCTTAGTCCTTGAGCCACTATTAAGATTTTATGTGTTTGTCACTGCTATAATGGACTCTGTTAAAAGTCCCCTGCATATCTCGCAACTAAATTAAGTTTTGTCAAATTTTGTATACCCCAGGACTAAAGTGTCTTTTACAAACCCAGAAAAGGTGTGATTTAAGCTTCATGATTAAAAGATTCACTTTACTTCCTTGGTACACAATACATTATATAGGTATTTGGTTTAATTTTAGTTATTTCAGATCAGGGAGTGCAAAAAATAGTTTATATAATTCAGGACTAAAGTGCGTTTTACTCTCTCACATGACATGTTTACTTTTATGTTTGTTTTCTTCTGTTTAATGTCATTATTCAATTGAAGCTCTCATTTTATAACCAGGCATGTATAAATATATAATTTAAACTTCACTTTTGGGATTAATAGATGCACTTTAGCTCCTTGGTGAATAACAAGATAAATTTAGTTACTTCAGGTGCACAAAAAATTTATATAACTTAGGACTAAAGTGTCTATTAATATCGGGCGTGATTGAAGCTCCACCTTTGGACTAAAAAATGCACTTTAGTTCTTTGATATTTTGCACAGTGTTAAGAAGAACAATTTTAGTTACTTCAAGACGAAAATGCAATCTAGCTTCTTATACACACACATACCATGGTAACCTTTGGAAATTTTATTAGTGTTGTGATTTAATTATTTCATCTTGACTACCAACCTTTCAGGCCGGAGGTGGAGGCCTGCGCCTGCTGCATGTGCCACCTGGAGAGCCTCCTCACTGGCGGGTGTTGCCTGACGTCTACGGAGGCGCACACGGAGCTCTCGCCGTGCACGAAGAACGCGAAGGAGAAGCTGAGGTGGGTGTTGGCGGTGGCCGCCGTCGCGTCCGGGCCACCTCCGGCGGCGGCTGGCCTCCTGGGCGGCGCGTCGCAGGGTTGGACGAACCACTTGCCGAGGCGGATGAAGTCGCGGGAGAGGAGACAGCGCTCGATGAGGTTGTGGAGGGCCTTGAAGAGCAGGGAGCGGCACTCGTAGGACAGGCCCGATTCCCAGGAGCCCTGCTCGCAATCTGAAACGGAAACATGGGTTAAAAGGGGGAAGAAAATTTAAACTATACTTAGCATCGAAAGTAACACTCTCCAGTTTCAAATCAGATTTTCTAGTGAACGGTTAATCTGGAATTGACGTTCTTTTTTAATTATTAAGTGACAATTTTTATCTCATGAAAATCTGTTTGTAAAGAAAGGTGTGTCATTACTGATTTGGAATATATTGCAATTTTTTCTCTGAAATTCCTTCATCTTTTCCGAACAATTTGATTCACGTTCTTATTATATCTGTTATTAATCGAGATACACAGTTAAATTACAGCATAAAAATATTGGTAGTGTGCGTCAATTTAACTGTGTATCTCAATTAATAAAATAGATTCTAGTAATTAACTTTGAAAATCTGATTATTTAGAAAACATATTAAAAACTAATAATTAAAAATGCATTATTATACAACAATACACAATACTAAAATAAAACTAAAACAGTTCTTCAATTAATTATATTATAGTACATTTAATTTGTTCCTTTGGAAAATTTTCTGGTGGCGCCTATGTGATGACCAAACTTTTCAACCAAGTTCCTAGGCGTGTATTTTTAAATTTTTAGAGTTACTAGAAGAATGTGATCTTATAAACTAAATACATGACGTTGTGGTAAAAACAAATACGAGTAAAACCGCTGCCAAAGATGACTCACAATTCGATCCGATACGGCGAAATATAGTAAATACCAAGTCTGGTATTTTTAGAAATCACGGGATTTAAACACATGGGAGCTGTTGATGGTTCAGAAGTCAGGAGCGCAGGTGGAGGGGAAAAGAGTAAATAATAAGTAAAAATTTACATTAGGAACTGAATACGCTTCTGTTAGAATCCTATCCTAGAATTCTATGGTCGTTGTTTCTCGAAAGGAAGAGAGCCAACAGAACGTTGATAGGTAAACGTATCTGTGTCGACATGTTACTCTCACGGACGGTGTTCTTTTAAGTGCATTTAAGGGCCCATATTCTTTAAATAGTGTTTTCCGCAAAGACAAATAATTTCAAACATTTAATAACTGAATAATCTAAAGCTTATCAAATAATAGGAATGTTATGTCATGCCACCTGAGTATTTTCAAAGACGCCGCAGTAAAACGAATAAACACGTGCAAAAAACGATCAAGGTTTTAGGTACTGAAATCTATGAAAATACTAACTTTTTTATATACAATAACTCCACATGTAAATATTCTTATAACATTTAGTTGCTTAGTCGTACATATAAAATTGTTTACTTTTATTTATAAGTACGTGAAAATAATTCTTAAAATGTGGGGTTAGGATAACAGAAAACGTATGTTTTACAAACGCTTTTTTTAAAGTTATTATTTTATTTGAGTAAATTTAAATGGTAACAATGAATAAACAAAACATCAAGGATTTTATTTTTGTGCTTACTTTTGTTCTACACGTTTTACTTTTCAAGATTTCGGTACTTAAACACGCCAGAAATTTCACCATTTCTCGGCCAGGGATATGGCCACCTTATGAATATCTTTATGAAATCGTAGATATGCTAAAAGCGTATTGTGCAAAATTTTATACGCGCATTGATACGAGATTAAAAAACATTCCAAATAAACGTTAAGTTAATAAATACAGTAATAATCAAAGCATATAAGTTATAAGCTATATAAGCATTTACCGTGGCATATACCTTCCAGTTCTAGTTTCCTATTTTTTCCTTTTTTTAGGCAAAAAAAAACTATTACTTATACAGGTACCTTCACATTTAAGATTCACTCTACATAAATGTTATTTATGTAAGCCTAGAACACTTGTTTCCCTTTTTTTATGTTTGTATTTTATCACACTTGAAATAATTTAAAAATCAATTCCATAAATCCTTGAGCCAAAAGATCAAGATAACGTTTTAAAAATCAGTTTATTTGGCAGTTTCGAAAACATTCGTTAGAATTGTCATCTTAAATAACAAATATTCAGGAATCGGCAAATACCGCATGTAAAATTTGCGACGTTCGTGAATGTGGAAGCGAATATTATGAAATTACTAAAAATTTGACATTAAAAATAAATTAATAACTTCTGTTAAAGTATGTAAAAATATTATTACCAAATGGTACAGACGGGGTAAAACTTAAGTACATAAAAATATTACAGAAGGTGATTATTTGCATCATTTTAAAAAAGAAAAGTTCGTATAAACAATCTAATTTCCGAGATATGGCGTGTTAAAGTTTTTTAAAAACATAACATTTGCCTGGCACAGGGGAAGATACTGAAAGACTAAAAACTCCAGAATTATGATGCCACTGTATATTTCGGAAATTCGATTAGAGTATTCTTGATTCTTACAGTTCAAAGAAAAAAAAATTGGAAAACGAATAATTCAAAATAGATACTTACCATTTTTTTAAATCTAAAATAAGCTTTATCACATTTGAATAAATTAGAAGTATCCTTAAAATCGTCAATTTTACAAAAAAAATCTATCAAAAATGTTTATTATAAATACGATTTTTTATAAATGTCCAAACGTTCAAAACGCATTGTTGGGGGTAAGAATTTTAATTTTTTTATGACCTAAAGGCTTTTTTTATTGAATCACAGAGTTTTACAGTTATTATCGATGTAGAATACCACTTCGTAGTACTTAAATTATTTTAGATTAAAATTTTTTATTATTATTAGAAAATGGCCGTTTTCCAAATAAAATAGAAGAGATTTTATTTTTATTAAAATTCAATTTGGAATAAAATGCACTCGAATTTCGAACATATTCAGTGTATTTCCAATGTTTTCGTAAATGCAATAATTTTCAAAAATTTTCATCATGCATCTCGAAAATCAATTCGTTTATAATACAGATCGATAACAATTTTTTTACTTACTAATAATACTTTCTGAAATATGTTTATGAAATAATAATAAGAAATGTCAAACAATAACAATGTTGTCATGACATTGTACTACATGTCACTGTCACGGCCTACATTGTCCATGAGTAATTAGGCCCCTCACAGCCTAATTAGTGAGATTTAGTTAAAATACCTATACGCATTTTGGACCATATCAATATGCGATATGTCAAAATATATTACAACTAAAGTAAATCCTTACGTCATTGGAAAAAAGGCAGAAATGCCTAAAAGAAGTCTAACAATTACAAGATATCTTATTTTTTTAATATTTAAAAAACCTTCTTTTTCTTTTTTAATAGTATCTCGCTTATTGTTAGAAATGGACCAACAAACCCTATATGACTATGCTCGACAGGGAACGTTCTCTATCCAAATGTGTAAAAATATACAGGGTGTTTCATTTAAATTAACAAAATTAACATCCGCGACCATTTTGTATGGACTTCATTTGTTTTTCTACTATCATTTTGGAAAATTTCATAAAGAATCGTGCAACGTTTGTATTTTACATTTTTTTATAATTATTCTAAAAACAAACAAGTTAATGAGGGGGGGGGGGGGTCAAAACAGCATGAATCACGCTGTACTTACAACTAAAAATATTTCGCTTTTATTTAAGAGGGTTCTATAGCAAAAAGGCAGCCAGTAATACATTTTTATTTTCTATACATACATACATAGTTTGAAACTCAAATTACTTCTTGCTGTAAAGAAATTTGTTATTTACGATGCCGCTTGTTCAAAAGCGGCAAATTACAAATTTCTTTACAACAAAAAGTAATTTGAGTTTCAAACTAACTCCATTTTATAGAAAATCTGCGTTAGAATGGAGGAAAGTCTGTTATTTGTGAATTAATTCATATTTAGACAAACTGTGTAATAAAATCTATAAATATGTATTACTGGTTGCCTATTTGCTATAGAGCCCTTTTTAATAAAAGGAAAAATGTATTTTTAGTCATTTAATTTTTTTATCGATATAAGATTTGTTCCAAAATAAAAATACAGATTCTTTGCTTATGCTTTCCGACGACTCTTCCTTTTTTGTATTTGTTTACATATTTGTAAGAAAACACAAATATTCGGAACACCCCTACCTCGAACCCGATCAGCAACAGCTAGCCGCGTTAAACGCGGTCATCTCCCACGTAATATACCACATCAATTCCTCAACAGAGTCGTTACGGTACACGCGGGGCGCTTTCCCCACATCGCACCGTCTCCCTCACGCCTACCCCCGGTGGCTCTCGCTTGGCGTGCGGCAAGACAAGGACGTATAGGGCGCGAATCGATGGCAAAACGGCACGGCACGAGTTTCCAGATAGAGCAGCCGGCAACGCCGCTCGGGTTATTTCGAGAGGCCACCAGATCGTCCTTCCCGTGTCGTCGCGGATCCACGGCTCGCCGAACGAGGCCAGGAATCCTGGAACGCCGGTTTTTGCGCGCCCCGAATGCCTGGGATTATGTAAAGATGCGGTTTCGGTGTGAGGAATTCGACGATGAACTCTCGAAGGGGTGATGTATCCATTTGTTTTGAGATAAGAACGCATTTGGAGTATTCCGACTACTCTCAGATGCAAATTGTAAATGTTTTTAGCCTTCAACTCAAGAAAATGATAAAAATATGTGGTAATTATGAAAAAAATCCACTGAAAATATGAAAATATAATTTCAGTTCTTTGAAACAAAGTAGTAACTATTTTGCGCGAAAAAACGCAAAGAAACAATTTCTCCGAGAAATTCAAAAGCCCCTGCTACTCATAGATCCACAGAACAGAGAAAATCTAATCTAATCTAATCTAATCTAATCATCGGACAACACTATGAGGTTCGTCCAATAATCCTTAGGCTAAAAAAATCTACAACTGATGCATATGGTCTAAATGATAAATTTTTAAAAGAAACGATTGACTACTTGGCTGAGCCACTGGCATGTCTGATAAATATTTGTTTTAGTCGCAGTGTTTTCCCTGACATTTTTAAAATATCAAAAGTATTACCTATACATAAGAAAGGTGATTTAAATGAAATTGGTAATTACAGACCTATTTCCATCATATTTGGCAAAGTCATGGAGGTAATGCTAAAAAAT